GCAAGCCGCGAGTATTCGGCCTGCGTTCCACTAACTTTAGTCATAAGAAATATTGTTAATGTGCATTGAATTACGGCTCTGTAAAGCTAACGCAATTGAGCCTTGACAAATAAATGGATTAAAAAAAACATTCAGATGGCAATCAGTTTCAGTAAGAAATTATGGTGGAAATATTTTCATTTTCTTGTTCTCACTTCGAAATGTAAGTGCCGAGCGAAAGAAAAGTTTCGCTGCAATTCATCAATCGAGTTACTTTGAAGCCGATGCTGACTCAATGTTGACAGAATTTCGGACTTATGTCAGGTAGATGTCTTATTGTCGTCTAGTAAGTGTCGAATGTACTCGGGTCGCAGAGCTTCGTTCCCTCGCAGGTTACATTCAATTGAATAACATTTAAATTCAATTAAATGTGATCCATGCTTTCGTCAATTGACGAAGCAGATCGAAATCATTCATTTGAATGTGACGCTAACGAGCCACTATCGGTGTTCTTCTTTTCGACAACTAATTTCAAATTAATTTGAGAATGAACAGAACTGGTCGTGACATTTTATGGTTTCGATAAAAACGAATTTAAAGTATGCTTAGTAGCAAGGTTGCAAATACTCATTTCAGCTAAAACAAAGTTTTTTTAAATTATCAAATAATTAGATGCTATGATCATATTTTGAATTGGTAAGATACAAGAAGAGGTTGTAAAGAATGTGTTTGTCATATTGAACCTGCTTATTTCACTTCATGAGAGTCACAATCAGTGATTTTTCACACACTCACTCACTCACTCACTCACTCACTCACTCACTCACTCACTCACTCAGCGATCAGCAAATCGCCGATTGTGACTGATAGAAAGCAAAATTTACAGGTTTTATGTTTCAAACACATACTTTGTAACCTCTTCTTGTAAGTTACAAGTAAAACATGTGATCATACCATCTTTTGGTTTTATTATTCCAAAAAACATTATTTTAGCTGAAATGAGTATTTGCAACCTTGCTTAGTAGCATTGTTTCTTATGTAATGGGACAACCCGGCTGTTTTTTTTTTTTTTTCATTTACCAAATCTAACAAAAGTGATATGTAGCTGAGGTGATTCTTGATCCAATCTAATCTCATTTTTTTTTTAATTTGACTGCTCTGGTCTGCTCTAACTTGACGCCGATAAACTGTTCTTGAGAAATAAAGCAAGCAATGTAGAAAATGTTCATCAAAGTTTATAAACAAAATTTCTGGCAAACAATTAGAATTTCTAAGCGCGTTTTATCGGCGGAAAACGTGACCGCGAACAGAGGATTTTATGGATTGTTCGGTTTCTAGTGTTAACCGTTAAGTCTGCGCAACCTCTAATTGAAGACAATGATAGTGTTGGTTTCACAGTGATGTGAATTTTCTTCTGGTAATAATTTGATGGTGGCATGATAATAAATTCAAAGTGCAAAAGCTACACGACAAAAATGGACGCTTCCGTACGTTTGTACCGTTAGCAAGCATTAGCAAAAGACTTACTTGCTGCACAGCGACGATCCCCGTTGATGCATTACCGAATTTTTCGCAAGTTAATTACTACCGTGTAAGATCGCGAGTATGCTACATGTCACCTATGAAAAATAATTGAGTTAGCGTTGAAAAAAAAATTTGCCCATGAGTGCACGGCAAACGATAACCACACGGTAAACTACTAACTCTTACTTTAAAAAAAAATCCACCTCGAAAGTAAGGTGCGTTACGCTTGTATGATTCCCGAATTTATAATGGGGATGAATCATAAATAAGAATGTCGGAAGGTTCTCCACTTTTTTTTTTATATATTTTGACTTTTTTAAGCTACTGTATATTTACGAGCTGGTACTGTTATAAGTTTTGCTTTGAGTAAAACAAAACCTCACTTCAGCGCATTCTGAAATCGTTTTGTTTGCTCCCAGCGATGCCCTGATTCTCGTTTTGAATTTCCCTGTCAAACCTGTTCCACATGATGATCTCCTACAATTCGATGTATAAACTTAATTAGGCAACTCTACAGCACAACCCTTTTCGAACGCTTAGAACCCCCGCAGCCCAAGTGTAAGAGGGCGTTTTCAGTCTTACAAAACAAAATCAGATGGACTTCATGGTCTTTTTTTTTTCGAATAAACCATCAAAGCAAATAGCCCTTAGTGGTACAATGGCCGTTAAAAGTGCGCAATCATCATCATCATCCACCATGTTCTTCTATGGTTCAAACCCAGCAGCAGCATCAGTTGGGACGAGTATTGCACCAAACTAGAAAAACCCGTCAAATTAAACCATAAATGAAAATTTCTTTTGCACGGTATCTATCTCCAGGTTGCTCTATATTATGCAGAGCCACGCCATGATCGGAGAAAATAAACGGTTCAAGCCTAGCACCCTCGGGGCGGGAAAGGTCCAGCCTCTGTGCTGCATCCACAGAGATTATGAATGCAAATATTGCACAGTTTTGTTCGCGGTTGACCGCAGGCTCCCTTTGGCGCGACCAAGCCGACGACCGCGTTCAAGCTTTCGAGAGGACTATCTAAGAAGGAAATCGACAGTTTTCCTGCGGTTTTCCGCATTCGCTCCAAAGACCTACAAATTGAATACAGCAGATCTTCGCTGTCGCCGTTGCCGCCGTCGACGACAGACAGAATTTCGTGTCTCACGTGGATTTTTACTCCTAGGGCCCCGAAGGCACCTGTGGCCCAGATTTCTACCATTTACCTATTGCAACGGGACGAGAACAACATTGTTGCCTCCCCCGAAATATGAAACACAAACCGAAACGTCTCACGCTGGTTTTTGCACCCTTGCCAAAGTCACGCAGTGCCTCTCCGAATGACCTCCCGCGCCGGTCGCTGGCTGTTACCGTGTTCAGCGCTGCACGGAGCGCGGTACACGATAAAAGGCCCCGATGATGCTTGGTGGTGCATTGTTTCAATCCGGGCTTGATTTATGACTACCTTCACGGACAGTAGTCAGATTTCAGTGGGCAACCAGTCAGTTTCAATTCATGGTTCGGTGTTCTTATGAATAAATATTTGTTAAATATAATTTGCTTTTGGAACTCCTATTTACGCAAGTGGCCAAGATTCTCATTAAATCGCTGGATATATAGATGATAAATTTGCGGATGATAAATGAGTTGAGTTTGTTTTCCAGATCACACGGCAGCAGACTTTTGTTTTTAATAATTGTAGAGTGATAGAACCATTCGTGTATATTTTCAAAAGAATAATTTTACGGTATGCGCCCCCAGAAAACGATAATTACGTTGATTTATATTTTAGCATAAATAAGCAAATCATTTAATTTTGAATAACTTGACTGAAGATTGCAAACCTCCAGCTGTTGATCGAGAAAATTATTACTAAAAGATTTGTATCAGTATCTTAACAGACGGAATGAATTTTCCTCCATAAATTCCTCTTTTCAGTAGAGTGACCTCCCACCAGAATAACTTCTAATGGGCATTTAGCAAACATAAATTGGCAAATACACATATTTACACTATTTATAAGCCACTTTATGTTGCTTGCCAGAACTAACGAGCTGGAGCTAGACACACTCGGTAGTCATCTGAAATGGTTCTGCCATGTTCCACCTATGCGAAAACAGAAAACACACGACACCACCAACTGCGGAAGACCAGATGTATCAAGTTACCATTTAATAAACCAACGAGTTCCACGCTAAAGAAACCAGAAGCTGCACCCAGCCTTGGAGAGCATATGTTATATCACCCAGCGGACATCGATTTTACATATTTCTGGTGTCCTTCGCTATTAAAGGGAAAACGATGAGACAGAATTGAAGAACATTAGACCAGCCGACTGACCGTAGAGCAAACGTGTATCCATAAGCTCATTTGTTCTTGAAAAGCTGGCAGAAGATCTTGTCGACAGACCACTTACCCACATGGATGCACACACCCACTGGGATCATTCCTTCTATGCTATGGTCAATTGGCTTTGCAAATGACTCGAAGGAAGCGAAAAAATGAAAAATAAATTGCTTGCATCCAGAACGACCCAGAGCAGCGGGTGGTAGTCCACCGCTCGATCGAATGGGCGCTCCAAGGACGGAAACAATACTAAGCTACTGCCACAGATAACGAACCCCTAATTGAAGATGACTACTGCCTCTTTTGGGTAACAACAGCGGCAACGAACGGTTCTTGTTGGAATTCACTTATGCACATAAATATTTCCTCTCTGCTCACTTCTCATATTCAATGTCAAAAGTTTATCCCTAATAGCTACTTGTAACATCTCGGGAAATTTGTTATTCTGCTTGTATTTCTCTTTTTACTGTCTGCCTCCTAAAACAGAAAATTCCAAAGGGGATCTCAAAGCCGCCCTAAACATGGATGCATAGAATGTACAAACAAGATCTAATAATATGATTTAATTTCTCTACATTAAAACAAACAGCTTTTATGCCATCTCACGGGCGACGCGAGATGTGGGCCTATCTATTTCGCAAAGGGTTAGCATATGCAGACCTTTTCGAACCTATTCATAATTAATATACCGACCTCGTTATTGGATGGGCACATCCGCTAAGGAAAACCGCAAACGGACGGGCCCCAGGAAGATGAAAGGTTCAATATTCCCGTTTTAGGATCCCACTTTCTCGCTAATGCTGCTGTTGTCGCTGTGGCTGATGGAGCTCATTTATCCCACCTTCAGAGTACGTTGCTTTTATGGTTTGCTTCCTATCGGCAAGAAGGAAAGGTTCTCACGACTGTCCCCTTGCCACGGCATTTGATGGTGGGCGATTAACCGGCAACAAGCGTTTCTCTCTCTGTGTCTGTCGTAGGGCCCTTGACAATTGCAAACCGATGAATCATCCCAATAAATTATCAACATCTTGATCGTACCGACGCTCCATCATAATTACAAACTAATGTGTCATTCGTGTGTTCGACCCATTCTAGTTGACAAATTTAGAGAATGATTGATGCATCACAACTAACACTGCTATTTTCCTCTTCTTTTCTTCCACAGAGCCACAATGCTTCCAAGATCGTTACATTCGACCTTCCTAGCTTGCCTACTGCTAGCGTCTGCGCTTAGTATAGAAGGTGCCAAGCGACGATCCCGACTTGATTTACCAATTTCGAAACCAGCGGATGCTCCGCTAGAGGATAACATTGCCACTGCCTCCGGATCGGATCCAACTTATGAACGAGCGGAATCAGTGGCCGTGGTTGCCACCAATGCCGCACCGACGGCATCCTCCACTGAAACCGAAACTTCCAACAGCTCTGGTAGCGGAAGTTCAGAAAACAGCTCCCAGATGGTCGACGAGTACACCGACGAAGACTGTGATCCGGACTTTGTGGCGTTTGAGCTGGTGACGGGGTAAGCTGTTTTACCTAATGAGCTGTACTATTACTATTGATTCTGGTGCGAATTCTGGACATTAGAAGGAAAACATTCCCACCCAATCGTTATGCATTTGCAAAACGTGGCTCCATATAAAGGCGCTAACAGAATTGCTGAAATACAATATATTAAATTTGAATGTGTTTATGATTGTGTGTATCTATTTTCATGATCCGAGAGAAAAATGTCAACAGTTCTAAGGTTGAAACAGTCTCAACATTTGGTAATTTCAAGAATGAAAATAAGAAGCCTATTGAAAAATTTATTTTGAAAAATACATTCACCTTTTCGAAACTGATGGAATGATAAATGTATATGCAATAGGTCATTTATTATATATAGGTAGCTTTTACCTATTGAAACATTTCTGTCGAGGAATGTCGCTGCAGCTTTCGATAGTGTGCCATAAACGCCTTATTATTATTATTTGTGATCGTTCAAAATATGCGTCAAATGTTATCGACAATTTGCGATCTCAGGAAAATAAACTGTTAGAAAATTTACATTTCGACAACAAAATCTCAATACTTCGAGCGTTCTTTCAAACAAAGGGTAATTCAGTTAACTTGGAACACAATAAGAAAAGCCTTAATAGTTCAATGCAAGCTATGCGATTACTTAATACATTTTTATTTAAAAATTCAACAACAATCAGTTGCGAATTTTTGCAATGTAGGTATACGAAAAATGACAGCTGATTTACCTACAATTGTTCTTCTTTGCTACTCCAGGATCTTATTAAGAAGCTTCTTTTTGAATCTTCTATAGAAGCTTATTTTAGAAGGTTTTTCTTTGCAATCATCTTTAAGAAGCTTCTATACGCTTGCCAATCGCTCCGCTCTTCTAAAGAGCTTAAACACACGATTCTGGTCGTGTAAATCTGTAGCAACTAAAAACCATTTTCTCAAAATTTATTGTTCACAATTAATTAAATTCTTAATAAACTCTACCTGATAAAAAAAAATGGAGCACTTTCGATTGTTTCTTAATGCTAAATCGGTAACGCTTTATTTTAAACAGCTTTATTAATGAATACTAAGCTTTCGGATCAGCAAGATCTTTATCGCAATGTTTAACCGATATGTGCGTGACGGGGTACCCGGGTAGCCAGCAAAAAAAAACCCATCACGCACATAAGGGTTAAACAATAACTTGAAAAAGTGTCTCTTGAGCGGTCTTCACGAAAACATGTACCATGTTGAGCTAGTGTACAAAAATCAAAGCGAATGTCAGCTTGAACTTACGTGCAATTTTGTATACAGGTACATTTCATGCAGTACACTCGGGTGTATCGATGTTCGCAAGTGTATTCGCAGATGTATGTACACGGGTGCATTGCACACGGGCATGCTCGGCATGCACAGTTGTACACCCAAACTGCTCATTTGCTAATAACTTTTCACTCAGTTGTTAAAATTTGTTTTTCTTTAAAATAATTCATAGATTAGGATCATAGTTAACTATAAATATGCAAAGAGTAGGTAAATCTTAACATTTGAATCAACACCAATGAGTTGCAATGTGCAATGTTATTAGCAAATGAGCAGTTCGTGACCAAAACTGTGTATGCCAAGCATGCACACGGGTTTGTACACGGAGCAAAATTATAAAATTATAGAATAACAAAAAAACGCGGCGGACCGGGACTCCACGGGATCACGAAACTTGTGATCATCATGTCTGCGTCTTGACCACACGTCTATTAAATGCACGGGTAACGAAAACGTTAAAAGCATATATGAAGAGCTCATAGTAGGTAAGGAAACTAATGCGTCTGCCTTTTATGCATGCCGTCTCCCATATGAGTACAAGCGGAAGAGTGTACATGGATGTAAACTTTTTAACTGTACTTGAGTACAAATGGACTTGTACATATTCGAACATAGCAAGCTAAGAACAAGTGAGTGCAGACTGCTCATGAGTCACCTCTAATAAAATTAGGATTATTTTTCCAACAAAGTTGTATCTTAAATTTTCTTACAAGTACAACTATGAAGCTTTCCTTCAGAGCAAAAACGTAGATGTTCCAGCAATAGTTGTATACCTATAGTTACAGTATGGGGGTTTTGCCGGAGTAGTGAGGAAAATCGGGATAAGATAATTTGTCATTAGTAGCTCTCCTAAAATAAAATATTTGCATATTTCAATTTATGTTTGAAATTAGCCTAAACATGACAGAAAACAATTAATTTTCCATAAAATGTTCACTCCTATAGTTGCGGTAGTGTTCCTATAATCGTGGAATACATAAGAAACCAATGCATTTCACTATTATAAGATTTAAGGTTAGCAACTACCACAACTACTAGAACAGTGTTCCTATTGATAGAGGACGAGTTTTCTAAAAAATGTATGCAATTTATTTACAGTGTAATATTTTCTAGCAAAATACAGGTACACTGAAGTCTTTTTTTACACGGTTTTTTTTTACGCGGTTTTTTTTACACGGTTTTTTTTACACGGTTTTCCACGATTTACACGGTACGTTTTTAACGATTTCTCGACAACGATACAACCTATCGACTTGATTCCAATCACATTATCCGTTTCAAGCTATTTGTAATTGAATGGCATACGTAAAAAAAATCACAATTTTTGGTGTAAATACAGAAATTTTTAAAATATGTCTATATGGACCATATCATGCTTTAATTACAAATGGCATCAAAATCCGATTTTTTAAAAACATTTAAGCATGCGAAAAATCAAAATCTCGTAGGTTTTTTTTTACACGGACCGTATCCCCCGTGTAAAAAAAGACCTGAGTGTATTTATTTTTAAATAAATAATTTGCCCCCGTTCAACTACTGGCTCACCCACCCTTTAATAAATGGACGAGAACGGAAATCACGGGTATCTCTATGAGCACCTGTGGTTGTAGCTCCATTATTGTTAACATCAGCTGTGATTGATCAGAGAACCAATAGATAGCGCATGGATTTCCCTAAGTAGTATCTATAAAACCTAAAATGGATTATGCACAGCCAGATTTTAACCAATAAGTTCAAATTTGAGAGGACGATCAGTTCATAAACTATAAACAAATTACTGAAAATCAGCAAATTTTATACAATATTTTACACTATATTTTGCTGGAAAAATGATCCTTTATCGTGATGGGTACTCCGACGAATAATTTTGCCTGGATCATTATTGAGGATTGTTGATTGTTGATTAAACTCATTTGAGCCAAACGTTATTCTATGGGTTGTTGGACAATTTAACAATTGGTGTAGCAAATTAAAGAATTAAATTCATCTTTAGAATCAAAAACGACGACTACAACAGAAACAAAATATTACTTCTGTACAAAGATGCTTGACCGCATAACATTTGGACAGATATTTTTTGATCATGTTTGCTGAGCTTCTCGTTAAAAAAGGGGTTGCTAGCTGATTTTCTGCAAATCATGAGTATCCTAATCTTGTTCCAAGAAATAGCTATGATTTTCAAACCTGCGGTTTAATATGTTTAATTTCACGTTATATTCCGGAATTATGACAATCTTTCCGGTTTTTCCATTTACATTTGACCCATTCCATGAAGTTCTTTACAGCGACTATTCAACCATATTTCTTATTTTCTGTGTTGCTATTACTTTAAATTGAGGTGCTTAGACAGTGCTTGTAAAACATGTTTGAACTTATCTGAGTTTTATCAAGACGTTTTAAACTACCGAAAAAATTCTATGAAAACAGAGTTATAGTTGAAAAAATTCTCGGGTCGTCGACTCAATGAAGAAAACCAAATTCCCTGATATTCCCTGATTGAATTTCCAGTAATTTTCAAACAAATTCCAGTTGTAGTGTCTACATGGTTTTGTCAACACGATCTCATCAGCTATTACTTTCCTCAGATATGTATTACCCAACAAAAAGTTCTAGCTGCAGACCAGCTTATACAGACACAAATTAGAAGCATAACGTCATTTTACGGTTGTATCAGCTATTCTGCAGCCAAAATTGTTAATTGGGAAGTGCTTTTTGGACATTTTTTTTTCATTTAATACCACAAGGACCTCTAACCCATGAAGAGTGGTCGAGAACAATCTCAAATTGAATAAAGCGTTCGATACATTTTATAGAATGCAAATAAGATGAAAATCGCGTGTTGCCAAAAACGGGAAGGCATCACATTTTTCTAAATTCACAAATTGTAATCGCGATAAGCGCCAGGTAATCAGTTCAATTGATGATTAATAGCGAAGGAAACTGCAACCTTCTCGATATCAATCTACAAACAAGTCTTGCTTAATGTTCAACAAGTTTGCTCGATTTAATCCATGATATGAGAAGAGATCTTTGGCATGGCGATTTTCTCACCCTTAAAAGCAGTGTTGAAAATATTCACCAAAACTCACTATGAGTCGCGAACTTTTTGAACTTCGTGAAATATCGTGAACTTTTTCAACCCGTCTTAGAAGTTCTTTTCTGACTGTTTCTGAACACACCGATAGGGGCAGACATTCAACCAGTTCTCCTATATCTTACATATGAAACACTTGTCTTTAATCCCTTGAGCACAATTTGAGACCCAGCACCGCAAGAAAATTATTCCGGTTAGAACGCTTAACCAAACGCTAATTTGCGGAAAGATTCCTATGGTGGAAAATCGTAAAAACAGCGCCTTCACCATTCACTGAGAAACTAATTTTCCGAGCTAATCAGATTTACAATGAAGACAATATAGCCACTCTATGCTGTCGAGGCAATGCTTGTCTACGTTTCTTTGAATCATATTGCCATCATAAAAGTGCTACTTCAAGCATCAAAGACAAAAATCCACCCAAGGAAGAACATTATTCTAAATTTTCATTTAATTTATTCTCTGAGCTAATCAGGCTGTTCGGAACACAATAAGGAACAGGAACTACATGTGTTCAGAAAAAAACATCCTTCTCTTTTAGCTCTTTACTGAAAAGCGCTCCAATGCGCCCAAAGGATCTAAGTCAGACGCAATTAGATGTAACATCTACTAAGAGACCAACACATACCTATTTGGAGGTTAAATTTTGCAACAACTAATAATGTCTATTGTCTACGGAAATGGGTTTTTATTAATCCTCAGGATCTCAGTTCAACTCAGGAATGTGTCAACACCCAGCTGAATTTATATTTATTAATTATTTATATATTAATTAGGCGCAAAATCATATAATCAATTTTTGAGTAATTCTAGCTCAACTTGCAAAAATGCAACATCAAGCTTTGAACAACCACAAATTCGCAACTCTATTTAAACTTTAATATGAACAACTGCAAACTTCAACTACACCGAGTAATCAAGTTGTTTGAAACTGGCAAACTTTGTGATTAAGAAATGTTTCCCTGAATTTGAATGAAATTCCCTGAGATTCCCTGATTTTCCAGGTCCAAAAATTAATTCCCTGATATTCCCTGATTTTCCAGGGTTTTCCTGGTAGTCGACACCCTGATTCTATTTTAACGTCGCGTTATCACGTCACGGACTATTTACTTCTAGTTTCATTTATTAGTGACTATATTATAACTGTTTATTGGAAGCAATCACAGGCCGAAAATTTGCGTATCACGTAACCTAGAAAGAGTCGTTAAGGTGTTTCCATATGGACCGTCATGATGGCTGATATGCCCTATCACTTCAAGATTTCTAGAGCACAAGCAAACGCAGTGCAGCAAACGTGGAGTTACAGTTTCATTGTTGGTTGTTTAGTAAGAACTGATATTTGTGCTCTTGAAATTTTGAGATGATAATGAGATAAATCAGAAAGGAGGTTTCCACAGAGATTCACCTTGAGCATAAAACCAAATGCGACTGAGTCGAAGAGGAATAGGAAAATAACCGAAATAAACTAGCTAGATATCATAGGATTGTTGTTTTAGGACACAAAGGCAAAGTTCGGTGTTAATTTGTATCGAGATATTTGAATTCTTTTGTTTAAAAGCAGTTTCATGGTCATGAATGCTGAAGAGGCCTTTTAAATGTTTACCGTTATTGCAAATAGACTATGCTTGTAGCATATTTTAAGATTTTTTTTTTTCGAAGGAAGATTTTGTCTATCTTTTTGCTGGACCGCGATATATACATTTTAGTGAATTGATGTTTAGGAAATTTAAATTTAAATACAGAATTTGGCAATTCTATGGTAAATGAGCAAATAAACTATCTTAATCCTCTCCAATTTGGATGAAAGTTTTTACATGTCATTTTTACATGAGAAATCATGTATTTTGGATAGGACAAGAGACCATCAAGACGAATATTTCAAAAGGGCGAATGTGTTTTCACATACCATTTAAAAAATCATACCTCCAAAGCCTATATTGAAATTTTGTCTATGAAGAAGTCGCTAGGAATTGATTGGGAAATTTAGGAAAAACACACTCAAAGAAAATTGTTTTGTTCATTGAAATTAAAATAGCTGTACGGATTATTATGAATACGGAAATTTAAAAGCTAGAAAATTAAAACCATCAAACTTAAATTTTACGATCATACGCCGTTTTATTATACTCCACAAATAGCGATAGATTTTTAACAATGTGCACATTGCGACATTTACGCCTATTTAGACTAACTCAAATAAACGATTATCATAGTCAAATTTTGCACATCATTTCACTGTGCCAAATGTACGCAAGCTAGGTTCATTTTTACATGGTGGGTTTAAATACTGACAGTTAATATTGACACCCTAAAAGAAAAGATGACCTTGTTATGCGGCAAATTGTTACTGTGATAATTGTCGAGTCGAGTTGATGCATTTCGCAGCAAAATGATGATCGACACTTTACACAATTATCATAGGAGTCTAAACGTTCATGAAAAGGACAATAACATTACTCATAATTTTTTCTGTGACTTCAAAAATATTTGGGTGACATTAGATCATTTTTTTTTTCAATTTATATGTGAAAACACATTTGCCTTTTTGAAATAATAATCTATAGATTAAAAATGGTCTTTTGACCTGTCACCTGAAGACATGATTGTTCTAAAAAAACTTTTTACAGGAAACCGAAGCGTGCAACCTCTAAAGATTATTTAGAGAATAATCATGCTATTCTTTCAGACCGTCAAGTATAATTTAAGATAATTTTTTTGGGCGCCCTAATGGGTGGTGATTACGATTTTTCCTGGATTATGAATATTGTTCGCCGTCCGAAATCCCAACAAATCCCAATTACCTCAGCTGGAATTGAACCCAGACAGCAGTTACACTTTCCACTCAACCACTGGCCCCGTCAACATTTGTCTATGTTTTAAAAACCTTCGCTATTCACTTAGAACTCTTTACAGGATATTTTAGTAATTTGCTCAACGTTTTCCTTAAACTATTCTACAATTCCCCTTTAAAAAAATGAGATTCTCTCTGATATTAGATTAACTTTATAACAGTCCAATGATTCTCTTCTTGGAATTCATCCTAAGATTATCATTGAATTTTTAATGATTCTCCGAATAACTTGCCACTGCTTCCTATCATAATTCTACCCAAAACTCCTATTCAATTGCCTTCTGAAATGTCTTGAATATCTGCTCTGAATTATGATGAAGTTCTCTGGAATTCTTCTAATTATTCACTTCACCGAATTTCTTAGAAATTTTCTCAGATTCCGTGGGAATTATAACCTAAAAATTCGCTTCCCGTGGTATTCTTCTCGAGATTTCCTTGCAATTTTCTATAGAATACATTTGGAATTATCGGCGACTTAGGAATTATCCCCAGAATTAATTAGGATTAACATAATTAGTTTTGTTTGCCACATCGCAGTAATTTCAGAACCGCTGAACACACATCACAGTGGATGCACTACAATCATGTCGAAAATTTGATGTAATTTTTATGACCACATAAATAAACAAATGCAGTAAAAGCAGCGTAATGTCAGTTCATGCATTATATTAATGATAATTTTGTCCTTTTTAGCAAGTAATATTACACCATATTTTGGACATGATTGTAGTGCATCCACTTTGACGTGATATCAAAATTATTTTTTTGCTGTGCAGCTCGGCAATGAGTTTTACTGAGATCTCAGCAAAAACGACGTGTGGTTGCTGAGTTTCGGGAAACTTTTCGCTGAAAATGCGCTGGGTTGTTCTATTGTAATGCATAAAGTGAATTTTTTTATGCCTGGCGCTGATAGGAACACGCTGGATTTAAATATTGGAAACAAAATTCAGAAAAACGTGCTTTTGATGTAATTATTTACGTCATGCTGGTAAGCATATTAAAAAAAAAATTATTCGATCTTTGTGCAGTCTGAGACATCTAATATTGATGCTCTAAATCAATGTTGGGTGTTCTTCTATGTTAACTGGCACCGGAGGAAAAAATGATTACAAGTTATTTCGAACTTCCAAAGCAACGGATCAACGTGATTCCTCCGTTAATTAAAGTTAAAACAGCGTGTACTGTGTGAACGTGTTCCCTTTAGGGGGTGTATTATACTGCCGCTCAACGCAGGTCGGTCCCATTTGCATTTTTGTCAAAACTGATTTCTTCAAAGGAGATGATAGCAAATTACCCATATTTTCATAATATTAGATGAACTCATCAGCTTTGTTCTAAGAAATTTTTGAAAAACAGCCAATCGGGTTGTCCAATCACATAATGGTGGCAATGGTGAAAAGCAAACTTTAAACGCATTTTTCTTGGCTTGCTGATTTGTGCTATGAAACGGACTTGCCATGAGCGGCACTATACCTGTTTACCTAGGCCCTCATGGTGCTTAATTAATTCCGATGTAGGGGCACACTAGATATTGTTGATTAAAGGAGTATTGGGCTTAGTAGCGCTTAAAGGATTGTCCTAATTTGAAATCACTATGCAAAAAAAATCTATAAAATCACATCGACAAAACTGCTTTGCATGTGTTTACGTAGAAGCAACGTTGAATAAGCGTTGCTTAATGAATTACTTCTTGAATAGTATTGAATTTAAGCTTTGAGAAGCTGTCCACAAACAACATAGACTAATTAGGCGCGGAGGCGTTGACTACATATATTTAAAAAAAAATATCTGCGACTATCAAACGGGGTCCAAAATATTTGAAAATTTGTCAACGTGGTTTGTGGCAGTTTCTAAGGTAAATGAATATTTTTGATGTCAAAAAATGAAATGAGACAAAACAATACGATCGTATTTTTACACTGTTACCAGCATGGTGATTTCTGCAACAGATATCGATAATAAAAAAATATTAAACGGTCTTTTATGTCGTCTGCAGAAAAAAAAATTAAAATCAATAAATTTTTAATAGATTGTACTTGAAAATTGTCCTAATTACTGTGCAATAAGATAAGACTGACTCTAATATTTGTGCAACCTGTCTAATTTAATAACTTAAAATCATATTATGATACTTTAAACTTACTCGCAGCAGCATTTACCAAATAATACAAACGTGGCTCCCTCCATCTCTAGAAATCGCAACTTACCTAAAAAGATAACCAAAACACAATTCATTAAAAATTTATACTTTTTCTCTTTTTTTAACATACAGCTATGTCTTCTCAGCACCAAACAAGCTACTCGACTCCGTCCCCGGAACGCTTATGCTAACCGACTGTCTGGAAGCTTGTCAAAGCAATGATTCATGTGCCTCCGTCAACTACGAAACTGGACTCTGTGTGCTGTTCTCTTCCAATTCTGACAAATTGCCAGGTAATTTACTTCTCACTCCCTTTCCCTATGCAAACGTAGCAAAAGTTCAATCATCAATCAGTACTGCTGTTAGCTGCTAGTGTAACGTAAAGGTAGCTATTACTGCAGCAACATTTCATTGTTGTCAAAGAGGAAGAAAAGCTCAGCATATTTCAACGAGGAGAATGAACATCCCCCCTACAACTAAGCACAGTTTCTTCAAAACGACCATGCCATAAAATGAGTTTTGGTGGCGCTATTTCATTATTCAATCATCTACTTCGCTTTACTTTCAAATGACGCCGATTCGTTCAGCCCCCGTTCCTGAGAAGGGAAAATATCACGATACAAAAACTAGATGATTGATTTAAATTTTGTGCGATCGATCGCTCTTCGCTTCCAAATGGGAGTCTAATCAAAGTGTTCACTCAAATACAAAGTGTGATACGATTGATCTCACTTATTGAATGCCGACCTGCTGCGTGGGGTCCACCGTTTCTAAGGTCGCCGCCAAAAGACCGAACCGATCTAGCTTGATACAAGGGGCGCGTGTAGGAAATCGATAATGAGGATAAATGATGTCAGGAGCGGGTTAAAGATACATTTTTCTCTCATCGTCGTTTGTTCGGTGCATGCAACCGTCGCCAGGTTGTCTACACAGCGGAACGAAATGCAATGGAACGACTCAAGCGACCGTTGCTTTTGATTTTATCGTTGTTTTTTTTTTTCAAAGCATAAAAACGAAACTGTTCCTGCATGCAGTCTGGTACATAAAACGTTTCGCCACGGTCCCACAATACTATCGCTGGGCTGACTTTTAAATCGTAAAATAATTAGAGATACGGCGCGCGCTCAAGAGATTTTATAGCGCTTCCACCGTTGCTGACCACCCATCTGACAGTTGAGGAAGTTCTGTGAGGGGTTTCCCATCGGGGATAAAACTCCTACTCAGTCTGACCTTTGATTTCTGGCAGCAATTACAAGTACTAAAGGCAGCAAACTGTACCAGATAATTAAAATCGTTTTCCAATTACGGTATCACAATCCTTAGAAAGATGGCTCTAAAAAGGAACTTATGCTTAGGGCTCTAGCGTGAAAATAGATGGAATATCCGATGGGTATTGTAAACAACGGATGATACCAGCAGAAGCGGAGGGTACCGAAGCGAGATGTCAATAAAAATCAGAGCAAATTGAAAATCGAACCACTTTATGTTCTACCTCCATGGATTAATTGATAATAAATACCATGCTTCAAGAAAATATAAATTAAGTTAATCACGATTCCTCTCTTCATAAAATGAGACATCGCACATCAAGATCGAGAAATGCATTATATAATTCACCACTTCATGATTTATTTCTAAAGGCCTGATTAATTTCTTCATACTTGAGCCCATGGAAAAGCTATCTAAATAAAAACATGATAGGACAAAAGGTGTTCAATTAAAGATTGTATCGATTAGTTACATGAAAATTAGGCTAATCGTTCAAAATGTTACTGAAAATTGTAGCATTTCATGCATGATATTAAGATGACAACAAAAGCAAACTTACAATCGCAAGTTTTTTTTTACCTCATTTTAAACAGATACTAGGGTGTCTGAAAATTAGTCGAACATATCTGTTTGGATCAACATTCGCCATGAAAAAACTCCAATAATATAATGTATGAGGTTTTTTGCTTTACCTTATTGTTTATTCGTGCGTTGATATGACTGGTTGACAAATGTTTTCAATAATACTCAAGTTTAACAATCTAATGAATTCCTTTGTCATGACAGAACGTGATGTGATTATTGTTACTTGTGCCGCGGAAATCTAAAAAATATATTCACTCTACCGATTACATATTATTGCTTATCCAAATTCATTTAAATCAGCTAGAAATATTTTTCTCCAACCCATATGAGAATAAATCTTACGAGTGCGTAATTCCGCATGGAACTAGTGAGAGAATTTGATTTCTCATTCTCACATGATGGCCACGATATTTACTAGCTCTACCGTAGAGTCTTCAAGGTATTTGAGTGTAAATAACAAACAATTGGGAAAAAAATAATTGATTCGCCTTTTCACAATATAATTCGTCAAATTCACCTTCTTGCTATATAAGGTGGATGAGGGCTAATATAATGCTTAAACGTACTGAATTGGCTTTATATTCCAAAAAGGCGAATTAACAGGTGTATTGATCTGGGTTGTGCTACACTTACTGAGAGAAGTATAAACAGTATTTTTACCAGAACAAACCCAGCACCAGTATTGGGTTTGGGATGGAAAACAATATATCTGTCACAATTCCAATGCCAAGGGCAGAGAAGTTGGATAAACATTTTTCAATGGTTTCTTCATTACGCAGATAATTAATAATCCCAAAACACTTTATGCAATATAAGACTGACATACTGCTAATATAGGGCTTCCTAAACTGCGTTTTTACATAGGGAGATCTTGACTTTCCAGAGCCGTAACCTATTATTTGCATGAAAAATAATTATAAAATTTAATAATTAAAGTTTATCTTGATGCAATATTTTTAAACCAATCAATGTAGGAATGTGAGGACCCAAACTAACTATTGGTGAAAAACCCCCTATATACATGTAAATGGTTTAAGCCGCCGGCAAATGGCTTGTAACTAAATTAATTTTACACTCTGTTCCCAATCAAAGCTGACCACCGTGGAGTTCAAACGGAAACTTTTCCAATTTTTTCAGCCTGTATAACGTGCACTCCACCAGAGAATTATCATCACATAATACAAGACCCCGAAACAATTTTTCATGAACTCGCAAAGTTTTTCTATCATCGCACAGAGCACTTCATGCTGCATCTGTACATTAATTCATGAAAGTCGGTCTCTCAACACAACCACGTGCGGAGCCCAACCAACCAATTTCTCTGTCGACTGCCGACACATCCTAGATTGCTGAACACAAAATTTTGGGAAGCCTTTGGTTTTCCCAGGTGTCAATAATGGATTGTATTGTCTTATTTATGACAGTGAAGTTGGTTAAGGGAACTAATAGTGACCTCATGCGAGCCGCATTCTCCAGTGAGGTAATAAATATGGGAAAGTCGGAGGTCGTGATCAGCCCAAGACGTGACACAGTTTTACACCAACGGGCCACCTTGCACAGGCATCCAGATTGAAGGGGATGCCCACATAACTCATTCACGTGCTGCAGATGGTCTTCGCCAGGAGTGCCGCTGCTAAGCCGCACACGTTAGTCAGACAAGTGTAGCCATTATTGTTCCCGATACGTTTTATTTATTAATCGACATGCCTGCTGATAGGATTCGTTCCGGCTTAGGGTCCATTCTTTCTCTCCGACAACCGTGTGCGGTACAGTATTAGGAATAAAAAATAACCGCCCATCAAACTCATAAATTTAATATTATATTTCGATCGATGATTTCTTCTCGGTACCGGTCGACGAAGCAGGCGTTTTGGTGGTAGTTTGGTACATTTCTCCTTTGCACTCAAACAGCGTGGAACATCCTTCCGCTCAGTTGCTGTACGGGTTATTTCGATCGCGATCTCTACTACTGCTTCGCCGTTCCGATCGAGGCCCCATCAGAAAGGGCTGAACAAACAAATTCCTGCAGCAATAAGTCTTACATGATGATTTTAGGCTTATGGAGACGCAGCATACACCTACAACCCTGCATCCCAGATCACGCGAGAAACATATGAACAGGCGGTAAACAAACAGTCATAATAAAACTGTATCTAATATCGCAACAACAACAACACACACACAAAACATTTCTTCGGTAAAAGAAAAAAACGCCCGTAGCTCCGATGTGGCAGCGCCACTGCGAGACTGCCGGACCTGACCTGCAGCAGTACGGCAGCTGGTCTCGAACGGGCAAACAGCAAAAAAGCTTGCAAACTTCAAAGTCGTGCTTATCTTGGGGAGAGCTCAAACGTGCTATAAATTATTACGCGCGCATGTCTGCTTCTTCCCTTATGAGGCGGTGTGAATCTCGATCGAACTTTTTTCTCCATGCAATTCGAAGCAAAATGGTGATCGTCGGAGGTCAGCGTATCGGTGGCGTACGAGTTGTACAATGTGTATTGAAACTTACGAAAATCGAAATCAACCGTATTGACTCTTTTGCTTTCATGCAGTGATTTATGAGGGTCTTTCAACGTGGATAAGTTATAGGTGTCGTGTGTACGAAGCGAACTTCCCAATTTCACGATCAGCTGTTCCATGTTAGCACTTAACTCGGAACACTGGTACCAAGACTGTCCGGATTGCGCCCAGTCATACAACTTTCACTAATCAACGCATTAACTTAATGTCTTGATGAAAAGATGCCATTATACATAGTCAACATTGTAGCAAAGAAAATTGCATCATTAGAAAATTCTACAGCCCGAGAAAGTGGACAAAGGTCCACAACGACTAACGTTAATGGGCAGAAATACCTCCTCGTGATTCATCAGATTGCTCTTTACGGTACCGCCACGTCCGGGGAGAATCCGGAACAGTGCATCTTTCCTATATATCCATTTGTCGGCACTAATCATCCCTACAGCAAATAAGTCTCACATCCCCCGCCTATTGCCTCCTGTTGGGAAGAACACCCTGACTACAAGTACCACTCAATTCGCTACATGAACCTAGTTCCCACTGTCTGTCATTCCACATATCATTGATTGGAATTGCAGCAGTTACTACCGCTGCATTCGACCCACTCGTCGAGTGATTTTCAAAAGGAGAGAGAAAGCCCGCAAAATTAATTAATATTTCGTAATGCATCATTCGTTCAACACCACGCAGGTTCGCAAAGACTAGCTATCATCACCTATTTTCCACTCCATTGTCCCTCAAGTCTAACAACAACCAAAAGGCGACGAAAGGGACTCAGCACTAAAAATACGCCAATAGCGCAATGCTGCTACCAACTCCAAATGGTCAGATCTCAGAAAAGAGTAGCGCTTGAAGATCTTGGGAAAACACGATTTTATCATTATCTCTGTGTCTCTCTCGGTTGGAATTTCAGCTT